CAGGGACATATCTAAAGCAAGAAAGGCAGCTATTCTCAAATCAAGAGCTGCCATAGCTCAAATCAAGAGCAATGGCAGTATTGATTTAGAGAATAGCAGTTACTCTTGCTTCAGATAAAAATCTTCATTTGTGATCAGAGCAGCAAAAAGAGGGGAGGATGAAGTGATTTATATACGTGCACGAGAGAGGAATAGAACGGATGGATCATCCATCCGTTCGGACCTGCTAACGAACGAACATGATGGATGGATCATCCATCCGGGATCAAACCGACCCGATCATCGAACCGACCCCATCCGGGGTCGGTTCGTTTGGCCTGATCGCTTGGACGTTCTTGTACAGTGTCGGGTTAGGGAGAGCGATCCATTCAAATCGAAAAAAACATGTATGTTATGAAATTAATATATGCTTTGTGCTTTCATGTAAATTTTGGAGCACAAGTTGGATAAGATAGCAGTTATGCAATCTTTAAATACGATCATATAACTTCATGTTTCAATTACGGCTTGTATTGAGTTAAGTCGCTTGGAAATTCGGTACATAACTTTTTAATCATTAGATAGGATTATTTATATAGGTGGATATTCACTGCCACATGAAACTTGGTGTTAGATGTCTCACAATTTGAAAACATTCACGGCGTCACCACATTTTTTTTCTTATCTTTAACAACATTGTTGCTTGAAAGAAAGATATCTCCATATATATATATACTAAAAGTATTCAAGTAAATTGTTCCAATCATTAGGAATTATGAACAGGTGATAACTATGTTTCAATAAAAGTTTTGCTCGGATTCGCCGTTTACAAAAGGTCATCTGCTTTGACTCCGAGAACAAGGATCTTAACCTTTTGTCAGTGTTTTCCAAAATGTCCAACATTTTACAGAAATCACATATTTGACACCACTTTGTTTGGAATAGCTAAATTGGAAGATTTTCTCAAGATACTCGGCTATCAACACAGTCGCCCGTAAACTCGGGCTTAACTCGGCCAAAGTAGTACAACGCCTCGGGCGAACCAAGAACAATCATAAGTAGTAGGAAAATCTCCTGAGCAGTCTGTTGTGAAAGTATGTGAGATTCTACTTGTCCTCAAGCGAACTACCAATTGATGGTCGCATTAACCTTCAAGTCGTCGGAATGTCATACGCTGAATGAAACTCAAATTTTTTTCCCTTCATATTATCTTCTGCCATTATGTTTTCCGAAATACATTACTGAGCCGATAATGTCACCTTAAACCTCCATCTCAAAAAACTATTCAAACCGGTTCTCTCGCCATAGGAAGCAAAGTAGTTCGTCATTAACACAAAGGTAGTGTAACTCGATTGTTTCTTCAATCGTGAAAAGTGATAATCAGGAGCTGAGCTAACGAGTAAAACACTCCGCTTGGGTTTGAAATGTCTTAAAGGTTTCCTCTTAGGATTGAACGGTATGTGACATGTATGGATTTCAAGAATTGATACAAAGCCTACTTTGTTTTTTTTTCTTTTCTTGTTTGCTTCTCTAGCACGTAGTACAATGCACGCCAACTAAAGGCCTCGGTGCAGCGTCACAGGGCCGGATATGTACAACCCAAGTGGGGAAGAATCCATTCTCATAAGCTAGGAGCTGATCATGGGAACCGAAATGTCTGAGCTATTTTTTGAGTGAGTGATGTTGGTTAACATGCTAAGTTAAAGTACAGCTTGCTTCATGAAGCGTTGTTAACATACAAGCCATCACAATCTATATCTGATACATGAGCTTCCCACATGTTAGTTTTGGCAAAGAGGTCTTGGAGAAGTTACACATACTTGCAGTAGGTGGGATGTTCAGGTTGTGGCAGGGGCAACGGGCACGGGCATATGGTTGGTAGATTTGGTAACGAAAAGACTTGAGCCTGGTCTATAGAGGAAAATAAATTTGGCTTATGGTGCCACAAAAAGACAGGTTGATCCATTTTTCAAGAACACGGATGTACCTGCCAGGTTATTCGTTGAACAACACTCTTCTGAATTTTTTTATATCACCTGTCTTCTTTCACTATTGTGACGAAAAGCTCTCACTAGATCTTTCGTGCCATATGATACTTGTAACTAATGTCTTCTGCAATTGACTTTCAGCATTTCTCTCTTCGTATTTGAGAAGTAACAACAAGGTCAGTATTGTTGAAAACGCCTCGTCTAGAATTGGTTTACTTTTCTCGTATGTTGTCTATTACTCATGGTCATATCATGGCTAAAATTCTATGCATACTCGTTTTCTAAGCCTGAAAAAGCAATAGGGTAAGCCATACCATTTCCTAGAAAAGAACTTCACCAGACAATCGAAGACATAAATATGCTGTACAATGAGTCATCAGGTCAAATGCACAAAATGCGCAGAATCCTTTCAGTATTCCGATTTTTGAAGTTTTCTGATACAGTAGCAAGGCTTCCTATTCATAAAGAATTGTAAACACGTCATCCTCAGACACAAAAAAATTAACAAATTCTCTTTGCCTCTAACAATGGCGACAAATGAACTTGAAGTAAACGCCAACAGCGATACTAGTTTGTTAGATGCATGCATGACCAACTGCACCGCATTGACCTCAAAGCATGACCCTCCAAAGTAAAATTCTTCTCTTGAAACCACCTACCTCAAGTTCTCTATCTACAGTCTCACAGCTAATTGTGATCTAGCTTGGAAGGAGCGAATTATCTTGGCTGTTGTGGTGACTTGCATTATTACTTGTTCCAAATCGCCTGATAATTCACTTTGAGTTTATTTAATTAAGAATTTTGGTTGAGAATCGAGTTTTCAGAGTAGCTACCTTCGGTTTTGAAAGTCGGGTGCTGCGTTCAGTTTTGACTTCTTCGCAGTTAACGATGTACAGCGGGCTAGCATCCTGGAAACTTCCTATTAGCAATTTCAAACATAGAGTATCTCGATGTCGAGACAATATTGTACGACGCGGATAATTCCATGCAATCGCCAAAAGCACTTGAAGGTATAAATAAAGCTTTCAAGACCTGAGTGAACATCATTGGGCTATCAAGTACACAAGTCTGTTTAATCCCATTCTGCCCATCATCACTGAATATGCACAAGCTGGGCTAAGTATTGTTGGTTCAGTTTACTTGCAATTAAACTCGTTCAGACTTCGCTTTCGGCTTCTAGCTATTCCGGAACGACCGACCTGCTTGCTCTTGAAGCACGTTCTGAAGTCATTTCCAGTTTTTCCAAATCACTTCAGGGCGTAGCTGCCTGAAGATCTCCTAGTGCAGTATCTGGACCCAACCAAGTGGGAAGGTACTCCGGTTGTTGTAAAGTAAAGTCCCATATGGCTTTGGTGCATAACTTTTGGATGTGCCCCATCTGCAGCGACACAGACTGCCTGTAATGCTCCCAGTCTCCGTCACCAATGCAGTTTTCAGTTTCACTATACCTTCATCTATTCATAACTCATTTAACCTGTCCTTCACGTCAATTATGGGTCCACATATTCTTTTTAACATAGTTCTGTGCTGCAGTTTCAAAAAGTTCGTCGACGTCATGAAATGTATACAGCTTGGTGGTTTTAAGCAATAATATGGAATGTTAAGCAGCCTTTTCAATCTGAGAACAGCTGGAGTATACAGTCACTTCTGTCACCATATTGCGCTTCACTTAGACCCTAACAAGAAGATGTTTGCTTTTCCGGCATAATATTCTCTTCACAGGTGTCCAGAAGGCGAATCTACGGAGTGTGACGACAATCCCCCGCCGAAATGCAATATTTGCGGAGACACGGACTGTGTGTAAGTTTCCAAGAAGTTACGAATGATGTTTACTATTGTTCGAGATTAGAACTGTTTTGAGCTTAGAGCTATTGTATTCTCTTCTATTCTGACCATACGCCTATTCTCTCGAGATTGCAGGTGCCCGGATCCCGAGTGAATGTCGAAGAAGGCCAGAAAGCACACTAAGCTGTTCGGATGCGGGTCTTTCCGTTGTATATAGAATATAACTATAGCTCAAATCACCTCCGCAAATGACACAATGGTATTTGTAATAGCTGTTTGCTATACAGTATCGGAGTCTATGTAAATGATGCGACATAAATGAAATCGATACGAATTCTTATCTGGTAACTGTACTTGAGTGTCATGTGATCCTCAGTCTTATTAACGATTTCCGTATACACGGTAGTAAATGTGATGTGTAGCATTCCAGACAATCTAACCAGGAAAATAAGATAACCTTGTGAAGACTGAACTGAAACATGCATGTTTAAATTAGATGGCTATGACCCTCAAAAGCACTGAAACATCCACAAGGTGCAAAAGAGGCTCTCATTGTCTGCTGGGCCCTGGAGAATGTTCTTCGGCTTCTAGCTGGTCTGAATTTGCTCTCCTCGGTTTTGCAAGAAATAGAGCTTGCCTTCATAGTTTCTGCTTTGACGGTTTCTCGACAGAATTTGAGACAAGCCTGCATCAAACTAGAACGCAACAGCAGACACATTTCGAAATCTATCTGTCATTTTCACCACAGTCAATCTACAAGCTTCCTATCAAGATTTACACATCTAGAATATTCAAATCAAGACGTTTATGTTGAAATTTGATTAAACATAATTTTGATAACATGGTATATGTAGATATACATAATAAAAAAAGAATAAATAAATTCAACACGGTTTTTTTTTTCATCTCATGGATGGATTTATACAAGTAAACTTTATTTGCTATATTTAAATCATGATCGACGTGAAATTTGAAATATACTATAATTGAATAGCGTAGAATTGATAATAAGGAGATGATTAGTGGGATTATTTTTCATTGAAATGTTAGACAAACGAATATATTCCACAGTTTCATAATTTATAAATCAGTTTTACCTTATTAAGGATGGAGAACATATTTCACGAAACAGCTTAAGAAAATTTGAGAATTTTCATCATTTGAGAATTAATCATTTGAGAAAATTTCACAATTTTCCAGCTTTGCAAACTTTTCCTGTTGTGTTGCAGATAAAGATTACAAGATATTTACCTTCCATTATGACATTTACATATCAGACGACTTCCATATTATTACTAATACACACTACATTTCACTGTACTAGAGTTGTCTCTATCCTCGTCACAAGATTCGATACTGGTACTTTTCTCAGTATGAGTGTCTAAGTAGGAAATTTAAGATCATAAAGTGTACATCATTGCTGAATGTGTAATATACTTCAGCTGTCTGATCTTCTTTCTTTCTCCTGGTTTTTCTCCTCTATTCAATTTAATATTTTTTCTCATCCTCCTTGTCCTCAGACTCTTCATAGTTTTTGTCGTCCTTCTTGTCCTCAGGCTTCTCGTAGTCTTTCTTCTCATCCTTCTTGTCTTCTGACTTCTCATAATCCTTCTCGTCGTCCTCCTTATCCTCAGGCTTCTCGTAATCCTTCTCGTCCTTCTTGTCCTCAGGCTTCTCGTCATTTTTCTCCTCCCCGTCTTCTGACTTCTCGTAATCCTTCTTCTCGTCCTTCTTGTCTTCTGACTTCTCATAATCCTTCTTCTCGTCCTTCTTGTCCTCTAACCTCTCGTTGTCCTTCTCCTCCTCCTTGTCTTCTAACTTCTCGTGATCCTTCTTCTCGTCCTTCTTGTCTTCTGGCTTCTCGTAATCGTTCTTCTCGTCCTCCTTGTCCTCAGGCTTCTCGTCCTCGTTGTCCTTCTCGTCCTTCTTGTCCTCAGGCTTCTCGTAATCCTTCTTCTCGTCCTTCTTGTCCTCGATCTCCTCGTAATTCTTCTTCACATCCTCCTTGTCTTCTAGCTTCTCGTAGTTTTTCTCGTCCTTCTTGTCCTCAAGCTTCTCAGAATCTTTCTTCTCGTCTTCCTTCTCCTCAGGCTTCTCGGAATCCTTCTTCTCATCTTCCTTGTCCTCAGGTTTCTCGTAGTCCTTCTTCTCGTCTTCCTTCTCCTCAGGCTTCTCGTAGTCCTTCTTCTCGTCTTCCTTCTCCTCAAGCTTCTCGTAGTTCTTCTTCTCGTCCTTCTTGTCCACGAGCTCCTTGTAAATCTTCTTCACGTCCTCCTTGATACCTGACTTCTCGTAATCCTTCTTCTCATCCTCCTTGTCCTCGGACTTCTCGTAGTCCTTCTCGTCCTTCTTCTCTTCGGGCTTCTCGTAGTCTTCCTTCTCGTCCTTGTCTTCAGGCTTCTCGTAGTCCTTCTTCTCGTCCTTCTTGTCTTCAGGCTTCTCGGAATCCTTCTTCTCGTCCTTCTTGTCTTCAGGCTTCTCGTAGTCCTTCTCGTCCTTCTTGTCTTCAGGCTTCTCGTAGTCCTTCTCGTCCTTCTTGTCTTCAGACTTCTCGTAGTCCTTCTTCTCGTCCTCCTTGTCTTCTGGCTTCTCGGAATCTTTCTTCTCTTCCTTCTTGTCCTCGGGCTTCTCGTAGTTCTTGCCGTCGTTCTTGTCTTCAGGCTTCTCGTAGTCCTTCTTCTCGTCCTCCTTGTCTTCTGGCTTCTCGGAATCTTTCTTCTCGTCCTTCTTGTCCTTCTTGTCCTCTGGCTTCACGTAGTCCTTGTCGTCCTTCTTGTCTTCGGGCTTTTCGTAGTCTTTCTTCTCGTCCTTCTTGTCTTCAGGCTTCTCGTAATTTTCCTTCTCGTCCTTCTTGTCTTCAGGCTTCTCGTAGTTCTTCTTCTTGTCTTCAGGCTTCTCGTAATCCTTCTTCTCGTCCTTCTTCTCTTCCTTCTTGTCCTCAGGCTTCTGGTAGTCCTTCTTCTCGTCCTTCTTGTCTTCAGGCTTCTCGTATTCCTTCTCCTCGTCCTTCTTCTCGTCCTTCTTGTCCATGAGCTCCTTGTAAAACTTCTTCACGTCCTCCTTGATATCTGACTTCTCGTAATCCTTCTTCTCGTCCTTCTTGTCTTCAGGCTTCTCGTAGTCCTTCTTCTCGTCCTTCTTGTCTTCAGGCTTCTCGTAGTCCTTCTTCCAGAGATCCTTCACATCTCCCTCATACTTCCCTTCCTCCATGTCTCCGTCCTTGTTCCATGGAAGATACTTCTTCCAAGGCAGGTCTACTCCACCGTCTTTCTCCTTGAGCTCGTCGGGTCTCCAGGCAGGAAGTTGGTCCACCACGTTCACATGCTTCAGTTTTCTCCCACCAACATTGATCGCAGAAGCTGGCGCGACCAGTAGAGCAGCCAAGAGGATCACGCTCAGAACGGGCACCCTGAGAATCGCCATTGTCGTAGCAGTATCACTTCGGCTGCGAAAACAATTTGGTTTGTCTTAAACTACTTAACTGTAAATCAGTTGAAGTTTTCGACCAACACTGTGAGCTTATATACGCATACTGGATACATGGATCCGAAGCCGATAGATACGCACGTGATTTGCGGCATGTCGATCTGAATCGGCGGTCAGATACGAGCATTGAGACGTGGTTGTCTGCAGCTCGGACTGCTACGCAATTTCCATAAAGCCATCTTCTGCGGATCTTTTGAGAAGTATCTGTCCAATTCCTGTTAGTGACAACGCAACCTCGACCTTGGCTGGAATGGCATTTTCTAGAAGAACCTGGGTATGTCAAGTCACTGACACTTGAAAAATCAAGGGGCCGAGTTCGTTACTGTTATTCAGATTCCAGGATCTGCAGGCTTCCTTTAGACTATCCTCCCAGCTCCGTTTTGCTGTCATCGGTGTTTCATATCTTGAAGTATAGGAGCTTTTGAGGAGATAACTTTCTGTCATCATACTACGAGGTCTTAACATGCCAGAATTGCTTATTTCGGGACGCTGGATTGTATAATTTGCATGATCATTGATTCTTTTAGTTTCAAAATATAGATAACGTACCGAGGATGTTTTACTATCCCTATCGTGTAAGGATGATTTCAGAAATCAGCAAGTTGACATCATTCTAATGAACTGGGATGAAGTGATATCATTATGAGAGAGATTGAGCTGACTCTAGAATATGAGTGGATCAAACAACGTTTCCTGCGACTGTCAATGCGAGGAAATTGCCAACATACTTGATTCGTCCATCAATCGCTTTAGCTAGGATCGGCTTATTTCACTTTAGCCCGACAAAAGACACACTCGATCTGATAGGCCCAGAGCCTTCAGCGAACGTTCCCATGAAACCACCAGAATACGAAGAGCTCTGACAAGACCTACCACACTCTTAATTAAACGCGCGGTCTCGATTCTCAACAGCGTTGGTACTGTCCAGTCCACGTACGAGCTTCATATCTTCTCATGCATGTATCATTCCAGCACGTGTGAAAGAGCAATTATCACAGACACGTGGATGCCTCCGAACTTCAATAGGAACATCGCATCACCTGCTGATGTATTTTGTGTTTGACATTGAGTTTTGCAGCCGACCTCTCTCTGACGGTATTTCTTCGTGGCATAATAAAGGCCACTTCATAAGGTTAAGAACTTCATAGGCTCCGAAAGTAGTCCGTGAATTGCTCGGTCAGATTGCTTCTCTTCCGTACGCTGATCGTACCTGCCGTGCATGTTTGACTTGACGTTTCATGCGCATCATATCGTCTGTCGTCTTGCTCTCGCTATTTTAGAAACAAATCAGTGACATCAGCAGAAGAACGGATCCACAACACGTTTTCATCTTGAAGCTAGTGTTCATATGTCGACATCAGATTAGAGATATAAAGTCCTACGTTGTCATGTCTCCTCCGCACAATGTAATATATGTACACAATCTTTAGATCTTCCACATTGGCGGACGACCATCAGGTACAAGGGTTCATAGAGCAGCAGCTTTTCAGCTGACATCTGTTAGTGATATCAGAAGCGAATGAGGCACATGTGAGATTCAGGTCTACGCCTGCAGTTGGACAAGATGCGAGGAAATTGCTAACATACTTGATTCGTCCATCACTCGCTTTAGCTAGGATCGGCTTATTTCACTTAAGCCCGACAAAAGACACACTCGATCTGATAGGCCCAGAGCCTTCAGCGAACGTTATCATGAAACGACCAGAATACGAAGAGCTCTGACAAGACCTACCATACTCTTGATTAAACGCGCGGTCTCGATTCTCAACAGCGTTCTCAACATCGATCCGATCGCACGATCTGCCTAGGAGCAGCAAGCAATGTAAGCTTGCATGTAGCGAAGTATTCAACACAGATGCAGCATTCCAGCTGAAGGCTTCAATCGTATTACGATCAGTATCTTCACGAAGGAAATCGAATTTGCGGATTCAAGTGTATGACATGCATACATGCACACCACGGTGTTGTTACAGCAACTGCAGCATGTGACGCGGGCTTTACAAATAATAAAATCATATTAAAAGAATAGCCATGATACAAATGTTTCAAGCAATGCATTGCTTGAAACAGATCCGGATACGGAAGCATGCGTGGCAGATGAATAGGGGCCTAAAGCTGATGAAATTGGTTTCACCATCTAATTCAAACTAAGTTCCAGCGGTATCATGAGAAATGATACACTACAAGAGTTCCAAGACCGGCCACTGCTGACCGTGATCGAGAAATTGCTTCAAGCCTATATCGATGTTGGATTCGAAGCCTACTGCTGTAGAGTAAAGAATAACGGCACGAATGTTGAGACTAGCTGCTGGCCATTAGTGCACAAGAGTGCATCCGAGGCCGACTCGATCCGCAGGTAGCTACGACGATTGCAGTCGAGCAGTTAACGCCTCGGGCAATTGTTATTATTATTATTCAGTCTCTTACACCTCCGACTTTAGTAACCTCCGTTGTAGTATCCACCGTAACCTCCGTTCTTCTCCTCAGGCTTCTTCTCCTCGGACTTCTTCTCCTCCTGCTTGTGCTCTTCCTTGGGTGCCTCCTCCTGCTTGGGCTGCTCTTGCTTCTTCTCCTCCTCGTTTCCGTATCCGTATCCGTTGCCGTTGCCGTTGCCCTTTTCCTCGACGTATGCGATCATGTCCTTGCCTGCGCACACGATGATTGACAAAACATTATCAGCATTCGTGGTGTGGAGATTTCAAAATCATCACAACATTACATGGATCACTGGAATCGAGCAGTTTACAGGGTGGGCAGCGTCGAGCTCACCTTCGCACTTGGTGCCGGCGGGGATGGTCTTCTTGCACCACTTGGGCAGCAGCATTGCGCGGTTGAGGTCGATCTCGTAGTGGACGTACTTGGCGGTGGAGGCTTTGCAGAGGCAGTCGGCGGATTCCTTCCTGACCTGGACGCAGCAGAAGCTGTGGTAGTCGGCCTCGGGAGCCCACTTCCAGGGGCCCTTGTAGAAATTGTTCTTCTGCACGAAGGGAGCGCACACGTGCCAGCTCTCGAGGGGCGCGCACGAGTCCTTCGTGTAGACGGGCACGCACACGCCATGGACGAGCTGCTCGCCCTTGCCGCAGGTGGGCGGGGCCACGACCTTGACGCAAACGCCGTGGACGAGTTTCTCATCAGCGCCGCATCCGACCTTGACGCAAACGCCGTGGACGAGTTTCTCATCAGCGCCGCATCCGACCTTGACGCAGATGCCGTGGACGAGCTTCTCGTCGCTGGCGCAGGTGATGGTGCACTTGACGCACTGACCGTCCTGGAGGACCTCGTCCTCGGCGCAGGCTTTGACGCACTTGCCGTTCTCGAGCTTCTCGTCGTAGGCGCAGGTCGGGGGGATCTTGACGCATTTGCCGTTCTCAAGCTTCTCGTCGCTGCCGCAAGTGGGAGTCTTTTTGACGCATTTGCCGTACTGAAGCTCCTCGTCGTGGGCGCAAGTCGGGGTCACTTTGACGCATTTTCCATACTTGAGCTCCTCGTCGCTGGCGCAGGTTGGGGGCACTTTGACGCATTTTCCGTGCTCGAGCTTCTCGTCGCTAGCGCAGGTCGGGGGAATCTTGACGCATTTTCCATTCTCTAGCTTCTCGTCGCTGTCGCAGGTCGGGGGCACTTTGACGCATTTTCCATACTTGAGCTCCTCGTCGCTGGCGCAGGTTGGGGGCACTTTGACGCATTTTCCGTGCTCGAGCTTCTCGTCGCTGGCGCAGGTCGGGGGGATCTTGACGCATTTTCCATTCTCTAGCTTCTCGTCGCTGTCGCAGGTCGGGGGCACTTTGACGCATTTTCCATACTCGAGCTTCTCGTCGCTGGCGCAGGTTGGGGGCACTTTGACGCACTTTCCGTGCTCAAGCTTCTCGTCGCTGGCGCAAGTTGGCGGCACTTTGACGCATTTTCCATGCTCCAGCTTCTCGTCACTCCCGCAAGTGGGTGGGATTTTGACGCACTTCCCGTGCTCTAACTTCTCGTCCTTGTCGCACTTGGGCTCGTGATCTTCATCGTCGTCCTTGCCCTGGCACTCAGGATTGTAGGAGTACTTTCCGCACTTCACTGGGGCCGGAGCTGGTGCAGGAGTCTCGCAATCTTCTTCGGGCTTCTTGGTGTCCACGGGGTCCTTCTTGACGTAAGGATCTTTGTAGTCGAAAGCTGGAAAGGCAGACGCGACGACTGCAGATGCGAACAAGCATAAGATCAGAAACTGCATACGACTCGCCATCCTGCTGGCCTGCTTCTAAGCTGCTGCTGCTGAAAGGAAGGCCCAGAGGCTGGCTAGAAGACAGAGGGATGACTCTGTCTGTGATGCAATTGTAGTGAGAGACTGTTTGATGAGATGGACTGCAGGTTGCGGGTTTATATACACTTTGGGTTTCTCCTGTTATTATCTGATTCTTCGGACCTTTTGGATCGAGCATGGATCAGATTCTAAAATTGGGCTCGATGCCATGTTTTTCTCAACACACCGTGCCTACTCTGGAACTCCACTCCCGATTCGTTTATCGTCAGCAGAGTCAGAGCCGGTATCTGTTTCTCACATGTCCGCCAACACCTCTGAGTTCTAGAGACTCACATGAACCTGGCGCCGAAGAGTTCTGCCATTAGTACGGCACATGAGCTTCCGATTGTACAATATTAGCATCTTCTTCTAAATGTAGAAGGTCAACGTCGGGCGAGCTCGTACGTACAGTGGAGGTACTGGTCTCAATATAGGCCTTCTCCGATTATACAGCTCATCGAGCGCAGGAGGACCATATACTGTTCCATGGCAGCGAGTGTTTGTCGCTTGTTCCTTTCTTTTGCGACACTAGGGCCGGAGTTGCGCTGATTTGAACCGAAAAACATAGATGTCCTTCATTGCTTTGGCCGATCCTCCACTTCATGCACATGGGTTTTGCAGCCTTTTGCCTGCATGTGGCGTGCACCCGCTGCCGTCTTCTATCAAACACCAGCTCAAATATTCACCCGAAGGAAGGTGGGAAGTTGGATCCCACCTGTGTTCTCATTTTAAGATTAAAAGAATGTGGCGCGAAGCCAGCAGCAGGAGACCCTGATTTTCATTTTAAGCTGGTATGAACAACTAAGAGTGTCTGTTGGCCTGCACTTGGATAAGCATACGAGGCGATCGTTGCCCAATTTGGCTGATTGCATGTTTAGCACTGATGAGTTTACGCGCTTTTGCTCAAGTTAGATTTGTTTCTTCTAAGTGGTTCGCGGGCTTCCTCTAAATTTGCATACACCAAAGAATTTGGACTAACTGGAGGTCTTCTTGGCCGAGGTAAATCCAATTCAGTTTCGGTCGTGTATCATGGTAATAAATGCGGACCTTAACAAACAAGCAGTAATTGGTGATGATTGAGAAACTGATAAATTAAAAATTCGTCGCTTTCAGATAAATTCCTATACGTGGAACGAATCGAGGTACATAGATCACTGGAGTAAGCTCTCAGATGGAAGTATGACTTTCTGACTTCTGGAAATCTTAAAAACAGTGTTGCTATCCGAAGTCATATTAAACACATTTTTGCAAGATCTGAACAAGGTCATTTAGAGTAAAAACTCGTAACCATTGTCCATCAAGGAACAGTGAGTAGAAAGACTACAACTGAGCTGCGTCTGATCTGATTGGCGGAGTTCCAGGCAGCAAGGTGGGTATAAGTTCAGACCTAGCATTCCAAGATCTATCTGAACCGGATTCATCTGAGTGCGGAATTTTTCTCCTAAAGTCTGTTCTAAGAGCGAGCACTTGGAGAGAGAGAGATGGCTGTGAAACGCTTGCAACTCCTGGTTTTGTGCCTTTTGGCTACTGTGGTCGTAGCCTCTGCATTTCCTCTTCATTGGCCCGGACATGGAAATGACCACCACAAGGATCCTCATAAAAAATCCGAGCAGGTGGACGACAAGAAGGACCCCGACTGCGATAAGCCTACTCCAGCTCCAGCTCAAGAGACCCCGAAAGAGGCTCACCACGGCTGCAGCAAGGATTCCAAGGACCCCAAGTGCATGAAGGACGAGCAGCCGAAGCACGAAGAGAAGCCCAAAGTGGAAGAGCAGCCGAAGCACGAGGAGAAGCCCAAAGTGGAAGAGCACCCAAAGCAAGAGGAGAAGCCCAAAGTGGAAGAGCACCCAAAGCAAGAGGAGAAGCCCAAAGTTCAGGAGTACCCCAAGGAGGAGAAGAAATGCGATCACTGCGGCAAGGATTCCGAGTCCAAGCCAGTGACCAAGCCCGCCGCTGACCGCTGTGGGCCCCTTGCACATTGGCATTCATGTGCTCACTACGTCCAGGTCAACGTTCTCTTCAAGGGACCTCACAAGAAGTTCGCTCCCAGGCCACACTTCCACTCCCTGTGCTGCAACCAGGTCAGGTCCGAGTCCGTCGACTGTATGTGCAAGGCTGTCAATGCCAAGTACGCTTATGGTCACTTCGTCGTCGACATGGAGCGCGCCGCCATGCTGCCCAAATGGTGCAAGAAGGTCGTTCCCCATGGCAGCAAGTGCAACGGTACATTCCTAGCCCGCCCACAATTCACCACTGTCGCTTCAGACTCGTGTCGCATTCCTTTGTCGATCGGATGCTGCAATAACATTCCGAGAGCGTTCTTCAAAATCAATCAATGAAATAAATCATATCAGTGTCTTTCCCTTCCTAACTACCGTAATCCATTGGTCTGGTTTCTTTCAGGCAAGGACGTGATTGGGTACGTGCAGGAGGACAAGAACAACGGATACGGCCATGGCAAGCCCGGGCACTACGGCAGCCACTACTGAACCCAAGGCGTTCAGGACGGAGCGCGGTCTTTCATATCAGTCGACGTCACAAGCAGAATTTAGTTTGGTCTCAGTCCTTACACTGAGAAATTGATCTGATTTTGTTTTTGACATTCACAACCCGTGACTGCAAGCAACTCAGGAGCTCGTTTCTGGATCAGGTCCTGGTCCTAGGCCCGGTGCCTGTCTACAGCAAGTGAAGCTGTTTTCACTTGCGGGGTTATAGGCTTCTTCTGTTAACTTACCACTTACGCTTGTTGTCAACCACGAGCGAGATTATTTTCTAGCTTAGCTGACATATTAGATAGACGATGAACCCAACCTTAATTCTTTTCAGTACATGTTCTCTCATTCTGAGAACCAAGTGCAAATTCTTTTGTAGATGTTTTAATAAAGCCTATAACGTAAATGTATGGGAATCTTGTCGACTGAAATATCTGTGTGCATGCGATTTGACTTCACAGCCGTTTTTCGCCTCTAATGTCAGTGCCAAGCGACAATTCAGTCTCTGATGGACAGTAGCAATGAAGAATGGCGCATTTCTCACCTCGGAAATCAATGGTGGATGTATAGACCATGGCAGTCGGTTCATCGCGTGACTTGACCATATGCCCTGTCCTACACTCATATCAATAAATTGATAAATCAGACGCGGCAACTTGGGAGAAGAAGAGTTCTCCAGTGCCCTCTCTAGGGAATGTGTGCGGATCATGAATCGGTTGTCAACCATATAGAGAGTATGTGTGTACATGCTGACTGACTTTTCAAACGAGACCTCAGTTCTGAGTACAATACTTTATAAAAGTTTTGTAAGTGAAGAAAAATTCCAGGACACCAGCGGAAATCTTCTGACATGCAGCGATGTGCGAGTGCGAGTGGGTATTAAACAAAAGTCTAATTACGACTTTTGTTCGGAACTGTGAAGATTCGAGATGCGTGAAAGCAGTTTGCTCTTGTCGGACGATTTGGAATGCAATCTCGAAATGTGGGCAGGATACTGGAACAAATCCTCGGGCATATGGCAACAAGCTATGATAAGAATATGGCCAAAGAGGACCTAATTCCGAGAGTTGGTATAGCACTATAGCAAGTTCAATGTTGCCCATTCTAATAACAGATCAGATCAGATTCCTTTAAACTTTCTAAAGGAATATAAGCGTATAATCCTGTAAATTCTATTACCTGTATAAAGAAAATGTGTGCAGCTTGCACATACTGCGAAGGATTTACGAGAGAGAAGACATGCGCGTGAATGTAAGACACGAAGAATTGAAGCGTCCAGTATTTGAAGTAATTCATGACTACGATCAATCTTTATTGCAAATCATCTAAAAATTCCAACGATATCTTATGTCGGACAGATAATTTTTGGTCGAAAATATAGAATTCAAAATTGAAATAGCTTCCGGATTTGTAATATTCTATACTCGCTTTCTAGACAGTATTTTTCACTATTGTAAACATTAAATTGTGATCGTCGTCATGGACTTTGGTCGACGACAATCTTTCATCGTCAAAGTATTCAAATTCTTAGACTGGAGATTGCTCTCAAGTTTCAGTTCTTCCATCAAACTTGAGGTTCAATGTGTTTCGTGTTCATCATTATTTTTCTCGTTACATTGTAGGACGGCGGAAGATAAGCAAGTTTTACGACAATCTGCTTTCCTGATAGGATGTTAAGTCTCGCTGCGACCGAAGCAGATGAATGATTAGTAATAGATAGGGTTTCTTACTTCCATTTACGCTGTCGATATGCTGTATACACACTCTAACAATGTACTAACTGCGATATAGCTGGAGATTCTTTCACATATGGTACAACTATCGAGCCAGGGAGTTAATAGAGCCAGTCAGTGATCTCCATTGCTTCTCGATAATGTCTACATAAGTGAACTTTGGCCACTCTCTGCGGTAAGACGATATTTCTCTGTTCAAGAAGAGTCAGCCCCGTAGGTATCAGAGTTGCCTGTCTCGCAGGAGGCACTACCATCGAGTCTCACCGTGGATCTTGAGGTGTCAATCGACTGTACATCGATTGACTACGCAGTAAAACCTTCAGAGTTGTTTTCCAGCTGTATAATGAAAGGCTCAGTTAGAATTTAAAGAAGTGGGCGAGTGCAAGATCTGAACATCTCTGTGACGTGAAGCGATTGATGTAATGATTTAGGACTTGTTTGGTTGTGAGACAAGCGGCGCATATTTGATGGTTATATCCAGCCAAGTTTGGGCGTGGTATCAAATCCAATCCGCTGTGGATAGTGTAAGCAACCGCAAGTCCATTACATGGTTCTGTCGACTTCTGTGAGTCGTCTGTATGCACCGACTCCTCTCATGAAATTTACCTCCTTCCCGGGATGTTCTACCGCGCACAAATGTTCGTGCTAATTGACAGGACACTAGTTCTTACTAGGATGATCGTCAAATGTTGATGACGGATATTTGATACTCCAGATTTTTGTCCATGGACAATATCCCCTAGTTGTAACGGAATAATAAATGCATGTGAAGCCCACGAGATCTGGCCGACAAGAATTCGGATACGAATTGAATTTGAGCATGGACGACTCACAAAGTCAGCGATACCACGAATGGCCAGCCTAGCATGGCAAGTCAACCGTCACTTGTTAGACCTGAAGATTGTCGTTGGACAATATTGATTAGAAATTTTGAAGTTTCAGTGTAAGTTCTTGATCTCAAGAGTCACAGGGGCTGTGGTTCACACCTCACACAAGATAAGGCCGGTGCTGTCAAATTTTGGTAAGTAGGACGAGGGACAAAGCCAGACGGGGATTTAGATTGCAAACTTGAGAGGTGTTCATAGAGAGGGATGCATGCGCAATCCTAGACGACGGCATACTGAAGTGGTGACATTCTAATTTCTGCATTCTACTAGCCACACCGTTTCGACTGAGGTCTCAAATCATCGCACACAAAACAGAGCTCGCGTGGAGATATAGGGCTGGTTTCTATTGGCTGAACTCCAATCGTATACTGACCAGAGAAACTTACAGAAGGTGCATTGTTACAGCACTGCCTTGGCACTCCGATGTCGTTCTTAAGTTTGGAAATCTGAGCCGAGAGCCTGGCAGTCTTCAATACCTTAAAGAATCTAAACCCTGTAAGGCCGTAAAGTCGTATTTACCAGGCCAGGAGCCTCATAGGGACAATTAAGAGTGACGTACCAGCGAATACAGGAAGCGACTTTTTAGTCCAGCACGTTCCTCACGTCGGTGTTCAAAGAACTTACTCTCTCGTGGTGCACGCACAGAGCTCGTTAAGAAACAAATGTGCTAGGACTGGAGGACAACGACAGGGCATAGAATCGAAGCCATTCAAGCTTTTAGTTGCAGCATAGAATACAGAAACAGACCGTTGAATGAGCAGAAATCACGACTGTACTGAAAGAAAGACACCAGGCATAGAATCGACGCCATTCACTCTTCGGGAGATACAGAGTGAGTGAGAAATCAAGAGTCCTCGTTGCAACCGAAGATGACCAATGCCATTCCACAAACAGAGCAAAAGTCGCTGACAGAGTACGGTTAGACGTTGAGGTCCTCCTTCTTAATATGAGAATTATGCAAATTTTGCGAATTTTCCAGCTTTGCTAGGCTGCAAGTAAGATACCGCATCTGCCTCTCCATTCTGTCTTCACCCTCCAGAAAGCCCTTTTCATATGTGGACTGAGGCGCTTGCCCTCATCAGTCCCTCTAATCAGTGGTCCAAGGAAGGAAGAATACTCCATCTAATCTAATGCGAGCCTTGTTCATCCACCAGATCACACCTGTCTTTTTCGTTGACTTGAAGCAGAACACTACGACCTCAGGTTGACTGTCAGTTGAATGAACCTGGCCCTATATGCTAACTGCTTAAACCTGTTTGCTCAGGTGTGACAAATATAGAAGTTGCAGGTTCTCCAACAAGGAACAAGAATTAAATAGCCAAAAGATGCGAGGATCCCATCAAGACGTAAATGGATGAAACCAAAGGAGCAAGATGGAGCTGGGCCCCAGAAAGGTCCATTGGTTGACTGTCAGTTAAGTGAGTGTTCATTAGTTTAACTTGTTTGCTCAGCGGTGACAAGAATAGAAGTTTCAGGGGTGTAAAAGGAGTCCAGCACGTGGGTTTTCAGAGCAGTTATTGTTCGCTTGAGATGTTTGGCCTCGAGGTCGGTCTTCATAGATGCGTTTATCTATTTCGGAATTCCAGATAGAAAGCAGTTTCTGATGAGTTCTCGGGGACTAATCAGTAACTAAAACACTTCTCACTTGAATCCTTCTTGTGAACCATCTCCCAAGCTGCAACCCCATGCTACACACCCCCAGCTACCTTGTCTACCTCCAGCTTTCGTCTGGCTTGGGCAACCTTTCATGATATTGATATGTCTCTCGTCCCCATGTCGAGTGCGAAGAAAATGGTCGATGTTTTCTATGCGAATGTTTAGTTGCTATAAGAGATGGGGTTTTGAAATAATTTTGGACGGAGTTCCTTAGTTTGGAGAAAAGAGCATGATCTCTTCCGCATAAAGAGTTAAACCTCCCAATATTGTCACCTCTTACGTAAATTTCTCATTAGTGTCGTAAAATTCTAGAACCATTAGTTTGAACCATCCTCGAAGTAAGAAGCTTGCATCACAGAACTATGAAGGCCTCTGAAGGTCTACAATTTCCAATAGCAAAATTATCGTACGGCAAGAGGTCTGCCGGAGCGTGGGCACAGTGACAGCGACTCGGGCGTATATTAACGAACTAAAAGGTGGGGCAGGAGTGGTCTGAGAAACTGATATTGGTGCATAAGCAGGCACTCTGACTACCGGTAGATTCTTCACAGACTCATCGACGTCGGCGAAAGGATTGACCTCGACGTTGATATCTGTCGAGGGAGGCGGAGCAGTTGTTTGTGAATCTGAGGATTCGAAATAGTCACCTACGGAAGAAGGCGGCGGGGGGCTTGTTCCAGTTAGTAAAACTTAATCACCACTAGTGCTTGCAACGGAATCCACAGCTGAGCATGCTCACCGCACACATCAGAAATATCGGGCTTCACTTCATGCAACCCATGCCAATGTCCTAATACGAGACAACGACCTTTGAGATGGAGACGAGTGTAAGTATTGAATGCAGACGAATGGAAGTGGATGCGATGATTGCAGAATCGAAGGACTTGGCTTATATTTTCCCAGATAGTGACTGAAGAAGCCGACCCTACGAAGATTAAGACACATACCGCTAGATTAATTATGAGTCAATGAGCGAACACCTCGAGTGGAGATAAAGTGAGTACTGTATACGGAGTTTACGCAGGTTCTAATACAGGAGACTGTATTTTGTTCACTTCATGATATCTCGTTTTCGATCATATCTTCTTCTTTTGTTTT